CAGGGCCCTCACTTTTGGGGCCAAACCAGATGATACATTTTTTAAAAGAATTGGACCTGACTCACTGTTCTCGAAGCCACGCAGCAGCCACAAAGAACTTTGGTTTAAAAATCAGGAAGAGCCTGATTCAGCTTGGAACTGCAGCGTGAGGGGAGGAAATCCTCTCGCCTTCCCCTCTGTGTAGTTTTCTCAAGCCCGGGTGCAAAAAGGGGGAAATAACTTGGGAAAACAGTGCAGGGCAGGGAATAACTTGGGAAATAAGCTTGGGAAAACAGTGCAGGGAAGAAGACAGGAGCCCCTCCCACCCCCACATCACAGTTCTGAGGAATCGGGCTCTCCATTTTTATAGGGTCATTCCCTGCAGCTGCCCTGTGGCTTCAGAGAGAGCGTTCCTGACTCTTAAAAAAAAAAGATACAGTTTCTAGTGTGCATTCTGTGGAAAGCAGTGCAGTGTGAATAGGCAGCCATCTGCACTGTGTATTCAGATGTGTTAAGTGTGGAGTGAGATATGCGTGGACGCCTGCTTCTGCACAAATGTCCTTGGTTCGATAACAAGGAAATGTGAGTGGAGAAGGAGGGTCAAAACAAGTACGAACTCTTTTCGAGAGCGCTAGGCAGACGCTTACATTTGGGGTTCTTCACACGGCTTTCATGAAACTCTTTCCAGGGTCTACAAGGAAAGCAGGGAGGGGCTACAACGAAAGAAACAAAAGAGCAGAATATACACTTGGATGGATTTACGTTTTGTCATATCGCGCAGTCTCATTTTTTACATGGAGTTCATTCATGTTTGGAAAATGAAAGGAAAATTAGTATCATCGTGTCCGGAATGCCTGTACAGTGTATTTGCCGTATCTAGTTTCTCTGCCCGTCTTAGACCGAGCAGAAATGATCTGCTTCCAAAACTGTCATCTGTGCTACTCTTCTTTATCAGTGTAATTTAATTTGGAGTTTAGGAAGCGAAAATGCGGCAACAATTAAAAGAAGTACGCCTTCAGGAAGAAATGGAAAAAAAGAAATTGGCGCAGCAGGTGGCAGAAGGACACAAAAACGCAAAGCAAGCGCTGACAAAACTCCAAAAATACAAGCATCAAATAGGTAATAGAGGATGAGATCTGTCAGTGTTGTGTAAAAGCCATTTGTCAGATTTTCAAAGCATTATTAAGGGGGGAAAGGAAAGGTGGGACAGAGAGAAATATTTAAATACCCTATGCGGTGTGTAAAAATCTCTTAATTAGTTACTCTAAGTGAAATCATGAAGAGAAAGTCTCCTGATAACTCTCATATATGTATACATCCCCAAACAGTTCTGTTAAGTTTCATCCAAACTCAGCTGCTGTCTTCTGATACCCTAAAGATTAAAAAGATTGTACTGCAGCATAAACTTTTGTAGACTCTTAAAGCTGCCATGCCACAAGGCGTTGGTTTATTTTTGCTGCAAAAGCTAACACTTCTGTCTCTCTGTAAATATCACTGAATTTCACGGGAATATGTGTAAAACTGGTGAGCAGGGGCCAAAATGTGATGAGAAGGGAGGCTCGTGTTCCAGTAATCAGAGTCTTTTCTGGGCCATTCCCGTGGCTTTTGTGAACAGCCATATGCTAATGATGTCACTGGAAAATAACTCTAGGACTAGAGGCCTCTTCACAGAATAGCTGGTACCCACCCCATCATACCAGTGGAATCCCTGAATATTCCCAGAACACAGGGGTTCACTTGTTCATATGGCTTTGTTTATTTAGAACATCTTTATTTTAAAGCTTGCATCCCATTCTGACTATCAAATATTCCCCGGGGAGCTCTAGGCGAGACCTGTAGATGAGTTTGTGGGCTTTTCGACACATCTTTCGTTGTTGATTTTGTTTCCATTTTCCACATGTGTTTTTTCTCCCTCTAGTGGTCACTTTGATATTTCATCGCTGTATCTCCAGCTTATTTACAAGCACGAAGCCAAAGATACAGCAGTGAAATATCAAAGAGGCCACCAGGGGGGCGCAAAAGACTGGCAGAAAAGGGAGGAAAGGCATGATTGAATACCGGCATACAAACAAGGAAATAACACATGCAGAAAAGCCCTTTTTGAGCAGGAGATCTCTCGTCACGGGCTCACAGTCATGCTGCCTTCCCGACTTGTTTCATTACCTGTTTATCTTTCCCGCTGCTGTTGAGTCGTTCACTTCCTCCTTTCATTTTACAGCTCAGGAAGTGTCTGAAGAAAGCCGGGTACTCCTCCTCCAGGTTTTAGAACGAGAAGAAGAACAATTCAAAAAAAGATGTGAACTGATTCAAGAAATAAGAGCCATGGAGTGTCTGCCATTCCGTAAGACCAAATTTGTTGATTTAACACAGGTGAGCGCCTAAAGATGACAATGTATGATGGGAGCATTTGTTACCTTTGCACCCCGGCCCTTCCTCCAAGGGGTCTCAGTGCAGTCTTTAATTTCACAGCAACCTTGAGGGGCAGGTTAGGATGTTCAGGTAGCGATGCCCTGGCAGCACTGTAATTGCTTGGGTGGGACATAACCACCAACCACAAGCCCCACCACTCCCCTGCCTCAGAGGCAAGATTTTCCCTCCGTTTTTCTTTCCCTTTTCTGACTGAGCCGCCCTAGTAATGTGTTTTCTTCTTTGCTGAAGAACAGCATCAGGGAGTGGTCTGATCCAGCAGGGCTCTTATGTTCTTATCGGGAAAGCCTCAGCCTCCATGCCATGTTGTTGGCTGTCCAGAGGAACTTGTTGGCCACTGTGTGAGATGGGATGCTGGACTAGATGGACCACTGGTCTGATCCAGCAGGGCTTTTCTGATGTTCTTATGAAGGCCTTGGCCTCTCTGCCCTGTCGTTGGCCATCCAGAGGAAGTGGTTGGCCAGTGTGTGGGACAGGATGCTGGACTAGATGGACCACTGATCTGATCCAGCAGGGCTCCTCTGATGTTCTCTAAATACAATAAAATCTTCTCTCTCTCTTAGGTTCTTATGCCTCTCAAACAGCACTAGTTGGCAACTGCATTGCGCCTTTCAAACAGCACTAGTTGGCAACTGCATTGCTAGTAGACATGTTGACTCCAGAGCAGGCAAAAACAGTGGAAGCCAGACATCAAGTAAAAAGGCTTTCGGGGGGGAAACACATAACCTAATAATGAAGAAACTAGACAATGGCTAGGGTTGCCAGCTCCTGGTTTTGAAATACGTGATTTGGGGATGGAGCCAGAGGAGGGCGGGGTTTGGTGAGGGGAGGAGCTTCAGTGGGATATAAGACCACCTTCCAAAGCGGCCATTTTCTCCAAGTGAACTGAGCTCCATCACCTGGAGATCAATTGTAATAGCGGGAGATCTCCAGCCACCACCTGGAGTTTGGCAACCCTGATAATGGCCCAAGTAGTGGAACCTGAAAAGAGTTACTCCTGACGCTACAGTTGGATCGGCTCTGCTTCTGCAGTCAGAGTTTCGTTGCCTTTTGGCAACTGCTGACCGTCACCCATGCTTTTGTCACCCACAGCAACTCCACATTCCAGGTTAAAACTCAAACTTTGCTTCTTGCCGAAGGCAAAAGGTTCCATCAGCTTGCGTGGGGCACTGTTGTTCACCCTTTACCTCCCTTCTCTCTGTCTCCGACAGACGGCCGACCACGGCTTCCTTGGTGAAATGTCGATTGTGGAACTGCAAGAGCGCCTGGCCTTACTGAAGGAGGCCCAGAAGAAAGCAGAAGAGGAGAAGAGGGATTCAATCGTACGTGAGAAGCGCAATAAGGAGCAGCTCCTCTTGGACAAACTGGAGCAGATCTCCCTGTTCAGAGAAGCATTCGGAAGAACGGCCGCACTGAAGTTAGTTTGGAGTGCTGCAAAATTTGTTAATACTGCATCATTCATTCCTTTGTTAGGTCAGGTTGTGCCTCCCGCTCACTCCATAGGCAGAGGGAGGACATCCTAGTTTGATTCCTGTTTGCTTGGCCAGGTAGGTTATACTTTATTGTAAGAGCTATAGAGGCAGTAACATCGTCACTGTTAGGAATGGCTACGTTCCTACAAGCATTATGGGTATTCGTATGCACCCCACCCCCACGCCAATCGGCCTGACTCCCGCGCACGGGAGAATGGGGCCCCAGGCCGTTAAAGCCAAAGCTGGGAATTGAAACTAATCCCACGGGTAATTGATGGGAAGACACTACACAGACAGCTTACAAGGTCAGAGATAATAAAGAAGGAAGGAATGCGGCAGCAGTTGGTACACAGGTCTAGCAGATGCACTCTTGCCCACAAACATCATGGCAGCATAGCTGACACCTAGCTCGACTAGACTCACAGTCCCTAGCTCATTGTCTCAGTTGGGCCTGAGTCTGCTCACCCTTCCTCTCAGGGTGAGGGTCTCTCCCAGCAGCAGCCTTCCCTCTGGCCCTGCTCTCTTGGAAGAAACAGCTCTCCTTCTGTACCAGCTCTTTTATTATAAGTCCCCTTTCTATTTGATGGGCTAAAACTGGAGCCAAAACCTCTCAGGGGCTTCTGGGAGTTGCAGGCCTGGCCTCCTCTCACTGCTACTCAGGCTCCCTGGGCCTGCTAGGACTTTGCTTGCACAGCCCAGATCATGACAGCCTCCATGGAAACCTCCCTCCTCTCCTCTTGGCATCGTGTTGAACCCACAATGCAACATGGCTGATAGCGTCTGCTATGCAAGATCCACATACGCACCTTAGATGTGGACTGAATACCACCGCACCTCTTCAGGACTGTGCCCGCAGGTTACCTGTACTCCTAGAAGGTATGCACGTGGCCCTGGAGAAAAGTAGACCAGTTGGACCTGTGTGAGGGGAGATGCTCCTGAGTCTACCACTGCAGGTAACAGCCACTGCAGGCCAAGCCAAGCCCTCCTAAGGTGTTGAGAGAACAAAATGGAAGAGGGGAGACTGGTGTTGTATAAGCTGTTTGGGGTCTCCGTTTTGAAGGAGAGAAAACACGGTTGCGCTTACCTGTAACTGTTGTTCATCGACGTCTTCTGTGCAGACAGACATTGGGACTGCGCTTGCCCAGGCTGGCCACGGAAATTTTTTTCCTAGCTTTAAAAACTCCTAGCAATGGGGCGGTCTGCCTTAGGAAGAACTGTGCATGCGTTCTTTTCCTGCCCAATCCATCACGTGGTTAGAGGCGGACCGCCTCATCCCCTCAGTTCCTGCTTAGCCGCTGTGAGCTCAATGAGACAACAGATACAGAATACATTTCCTTTTTTTTAAAGAGCTTACAGTGGGGCAGGAGGGAGGGGATGTGTGCCTGTGCAGAAGATGTCGATGAACAACAGTTACGGATAAGTGCAACCCTGTTTTCATCTTCTGTCTTGCTGTGCCGCCCCACATTGGGACCTTCGTGAGCTGTTTACCTGAGGAGGCGGGGTGAGGTAGTGGCCTTGCAGACGTTGGTCAATGGGACATTAGGATGAAAAGCGGCAGATGGGGGGGATGGAGTCCTCGGAGGAGCTGGCGTCAGTTCAGGCACAATTTGGGGCGTCCCGGTGTGGTCAGATTGCTTTGATTTGTTTACCATCAACAGAAGGTTTGTTCCGGTCCTTTAACTTATGATGCTTCTTGGAAGGTGGTTCAGAATGAGGTCTGGGTTGTTGAGATGGGCCCGGAGACGGTGATCTTGGGTGTGCTGCTCGGCTCCGAAAACAAAGCCACTGAGGCAGCCCATTCTGGTACTTTAGCACTGGGAGGAATATTCAAAATAGTTGGAATGGATCTCACGGAAGGAGGTCCAGAACTTTGAAGAATGTTCAGTGCCAGAGGTGGGTCTGAAACCGAGTTGCTAGGATTGGTGTTCGGTTTCGATGGAACCGAGGACAACACCTTCTTCCACAGAGCCACTTTAAGGCAGGAAGCCCGGTCAATACACGTCTTGTGTGTGAATTTTTGACAAATGCCACAAGTGCCAACATTATGCCCTTCTCCCAGGCAGAGCAAGCAATGTCCATGTTTGTCTGTGTGGGGCATTTTGGTGCCACACCTAGAACGTTTTATTAAAGAGGGCCTTGATCGCCATTGGAAGGGGACCCTGGACTCTGGTGTCGTCAGGTGACGAATGCCAAGAATTAAAGAAAGGAAAAATGCTTCCTAACGACTGGCCAGGACTGAACAGTCTGAGGTAACAATGAAAGTTACAATGCAGCGATGCTAGAGAACTGAGCCTGTCTTCGGGAAAGCAGACTATTAAATAAATAAATAAATAAATAATAACATCCACTTCTCAGGGCAGTGAAAAAGGAACTGAGGGAATGGGGGTGGTCTGCCTCTAACCACATGATGGATTCGGTGGGGAAAAAGAGCAAATGTGTGGTGTTTCTTCAGGCGGACTGCCCCTTCTCTAGGAGTTTTTAAAGCTAACAAAAATCTTCTGCGGCTGGCCTGCAGAAGTGCAGTCCCAGTGTGCAGCTGCACAGCAAGGGGTATAAATAAGAATAACAACAAGGTTCTGTACAGTTTATATAGCACTATCAACATGCACAGTGCTTTGCACACTAACGATGACCATAAGTCCCTACCCCAGGAGCCTTACATTCCACAGCTTGCTGCAGGAGATGTCAAAGAAGGAGGGGAGTTGGGTGAGGACAGCAATGGAGGCTGCAAATAAAGTTCCAGGATATCTGTGAGTCAAAATCACTCAGAGTATCAGGCTGTGAGGCATGACCGCCCCACCAAACCACAGGACCTGTATTGTTGCTCGATTTCTAGAGGCTGCAGAGGCGTGTCGAGAGGAGGTGTTTTTAGACATGGGTTTTATTAAAGTTTTTCGGTTTTATTGTTCAAGACCTTGGGAAAGAAGAGGACCTGTATTTATGGGTGACCATACAGGGCAAGACTCCCCCAGACAGGAAGGCAAAGAGAAAGAAGCATGGACTATAAGCTCTAAGGACAGTGAAGCGGAGCAGAGACCTATGGGGCAGCAAACTTCCCTTGAAACTCTCTCCTGACCGATCAGGCCTAGCCAGCCATTTTATCTGGAGACCTTCCTTTATCTGGAGACCCTCCAGTCTGGTGTCGTGGTTAAGTGCGCAGACTCTAATCTGGGAGAACCTGTTTTGATTGCCCACTCCTCCACTTGCACCTGCTGATGTGACCTTGGGCAAGCCATAGTTCTGTCAGAGCTGTCCTTGAAAAGAGCCATTTCTGTCAGAGCTCTCTCAGCCCCATCCACCTCACAGAAGGTGTCTGTTGTGGGAAGGGGGAGGGAGATTGTAAGCCGCTCTGAGACCCCAAGTGAAAGACGGGGTATAAATCCAATCTCCTCCTCCTCCTCTTCTCCTTCTCCACCAAAAGGCCCAGCTAGCTATTTAAGAACACAGACCTAAAGCGAGGGAGAGGAACCTCATGATAACCGTGTGTTGGATCCCCAAGCATCGAGAATAGAACACAGACCTAAAGCGAGGGAGAGGAACCTTATGATAAGCGTGTACTCCTTTGTTTGGCTGTGGAACCTGACACTTGGGCATTTGGTTTCTTTTCTGTTCACCCATATCAGGCTGACCTCCTGTACGAATAAACCCTTTATTTGTTGTTCACTCTGCCTGGTCCTCCGGCCTATTATTCAGCAAAAAAAGGGAGGTCTGAAGGTCTTGGGAGGGTGCTCTGGGCCTTTTCAAAGGATCCTAGAACCAGAGTGCTGGCAGCGTCACATGACACCCCACCTGAGCCGTGACAGAGGCCTATAGGAGTTCCGTCCTGTGGTTATAAAGCTGTAACTACATATGCTGGAGAGTGCAGATGAAAATGTGTGGTGGGCTGCTCCATCCTGTTGAATATATCTTTATGAAAAATTTTAAACCCCCGTTTTCCTCGTGGTTCAAGGTGGCTTACAAGAATAGTTAAAAAAAACATTTCCAGTTAAAACTAGAATTAAAGTAACACACCTCCATATAGGAATATATTCATTACCAGAATTAACTCCTCATGTGGTTTTTATTTTAATAAATAAAGTTTTCTTAAAAACCAGTGGAATTTAAAGTGCTTAAATCTGGCTTGTCCATGCTCTTTTCTGCTTAAATTATTGCAGTTGATGAGTCAGTGATTTCATACATTTCCCCTCTGAACTGATTTGGGTTTTTTTCCCCTTCTTCCTTACATTGCAGACAGGAGGAAAAGAAAATTAAGCCTCAGTTGAGTGAAGGCTTTCTGAAAGATGAGCGAGTTTTGGATCTACAGAAAAAGATTGCCGAAAAATCTATGGAACGTAAAATGCAGACGCAGAACTTCAAGAGTGTATCCACGAAGTACAACGAAAGGCCAAAGTCACTGAAAGTAAGAAAGATAATGTTTTCTATTGTTTTAGACTACAATCCGGTATACAATTAGCCATGCTTAAGCCTGTTAATTTCAGTGTCTCAACACTCTGTTGGGTTTAATCCCCGGGATGAATTCTGACATGATTAACTGCGCTTTCATTAAGCTCTTCTTTACTGTGAGTACCTAAAGCCAGCTGACCAAATGGATTGTGGTTTGCTGAAGGGCACTAAGCGGCAGTTCTGAACTGTAGTCTGTCCCTGGCTTACTAACTGGAGTCAGTCTTCGATACGGTTTCCCATCATAGCCAGATTCAGAAGTCCCACTTTTCCCAGTAGTGCTGCCCATCTCAGCCGCCTCATACAGACCAGGGGTCCCCAACACGGTGCTCGTGGGGGCGGTGGCATCCCCCTACAGCTTTTTTTGGTGCCTGCCAAGGTGTTCTTTAAAAGCAGACGGGGCCAGGCAGGGCTTGTTCCCCGCAGGGTTTCCAGTTGGCCATTGGAGAGCAAGACCGTCTGAGCAGCTAAAAATAACCTGGCATGGCATGGCTGAAGACAAGCTGTATGCACGCGAGAAAATACTTTTAAAGATAGTGTCATGGGTCCAGATCCGGCTGAGGCTGACTTTTCATCAGATGAGGAAGAGGCAGGGAGCAACCCAGCCTCCTCTAGAGACATCCCAGAGAAAGAACCCTTAGCAGTACCCGAGGAGGAAGAGTCCCCAGCAGCTGCGCAAGAGGTGCAGCCAGAAGGAGAGACCATACCTGAGCCAGGGCCAGCAGCACCGCCAGCTGCAGACCCCCCGAGGCCAGACTCCCCAAGGCCTAGTTTCCCTGAGTGCCCCAGACGTAGGGCACAGATGAGGCTGACTGTGCAGGAACGAAGAAGAAGTGCCAGGCTGTAGCTCCAGCAACGTCAACGAGAGGAGTTGTAAGCCTCTGCAGACTCAACTCCAAAGGGAGGAGCTGTTTAGAACCCCTTGGTGCACCTGCTCCAGCGCGGCAACAACTCTGCAAAATCACACCTGCTTCTGAGTGTGCAGTAGTCACTCCTTGCTTCTGGAAACCTGCATTCTTGAAACAACTTCACAGCTATCAGACCTTCGGCTTTCTCACTGACCTTGATTCCGGTGCGTGTCTTCAGCTTCTAGTTCATCACCTCGGTGGCTACCAGCCAAGTCAGCACAGATATGCTTGTTGTAAATGGCGTCCTGTCAAGCAGAGCATCTGCCTGAGATGTTGAAGAGTTACTGTTATGTTTAACATCACTCCCTGATACACTTATTTATTTATTTATTTAGATTTATATCCTGCCCTTCCCACGAGTAGGCTCAGAGCGGATGACAATAATAAATCACAACCAACAGAGGATTAAAAGTCGATCTTAAGCAATACAACAGTTAAAAGACAGGCATAGAAGCAATTAAATATTCAGCAATTAAATATTTCCATATCCATCTGTTCTGACTCTCCGCATCTGCTGTAGATAACGCTGACATACCACAGTATTTCACTACAACAGTTTCTATTGATACACTATATATATAAAACCATTGAGAAATCAGTGATCAAATATTTCATGCTAAGATATGTTACCTATTCGGAGAAATTAAGATAATTTCCATTGTTATGCATCTTAACCATGGGCCTATCCAGGTTAGTATGGACCAGAAGCCGCTAGTCTTTGCAGGTACTGTGATGACATAAATCCATCCATAATAGGGACACCAAGGGAGACCAAAAATCCTTCCTGATTCCCAGAGGTGCTCCGTGAACCCCTGATATGAAATCAGTGTCCCGGTCCGGTGGCCGCGGGACGTAGACCCCACCCCCCAGAGATGCCCCAACCGCCCGACTCACCCGGGAACCAGCAAAGGAGCAGAGCAACCGTGACGCCATGGCAACCGATGGAGCCGCAGCCCGGCTCCTCAGCACAGGAAGCCCCAGGAGAGACAACCTTTGGCGACCCAGAGAGTTGCAGTAGCGTCAGCGGAGCACGGCCCCTGGAGCGTGCACCCCGGAACCTCGCCCCAGCGAGCAGCAGTGCGGATGTTGCGGAGGGAGAGCTGAGGGTGGACACGGTGAGGAGCCCAGGCAGCGGTGGTGCGGCCGCTGGGCCGACAGGGCCGGTACACTTGCAACCACGCCCGGAACGCCCAGGCAGCGTCTGAGCTTATCACCGGGGGCGGGACCAGACTGGGAGTAGAGGGGGCGGGAAACACGGGCGGTGCTGGGAGTGGAGAAGGGGGAATAAAAGGAGAGAGATGCAGAGGGGCCGGGGAGAAGAAACGTGCGACGGAACTGATCTGAGAGAAACGGAGGGGGGGGGAGAACGAGAGGTGTCCTGCGCACGCCAGCGGAGGGACTTAAGGGGTGACGTTAACCCTGTCCCCCGCCTATCTGAGGCCCCACAGCAAACTCCTCCTTAATGAACTCCCTCCAACTCCCAGGACCATCTGCCCTGGTGGGAAGCCAGACGCCACGGCCACGGGCAGGTCAGCTCCCGGGCCACAGACGGAACCTGACAATCAGTAAGTTATTTTGTTCCTAGTGAGCCTATTCCACCGCTTTGTCCATTTTCGCAACCAGAGCGACCCCTTCACTGGTGTATGAGACGGTCACAGAATTTTACTGAATGTTTTGAATTAGTCCTGGGATGGTCTGTGTTTTGCTTCTACAGAAACCTCTGCAAGAAGATTACTGGGAGAAGTTGGAAGGAAGTCGGCAGCAGCGGTTTAAGATGCTTCAGCAAGATTTCATGTCAAGAGAAGTTGCTGAAAAAACAATGTCTCGTGAGGCCGGGAGAGCTGGAACCACGGCTTGTATATTGCGTTCTTAAGACAGACAAAACTACTTCTAGACACCTTTCTGTTGACGTGACATGGCAATAACACAGGATCAGCCTTTCAACTCCGTTTCTGGGGTGGCCTATAGAGATACTAGAAGGTAGGTTTTAAAATCGAATACTACATTCCACTGAACTAATCGGCAGCTGATCGTGTTTCACACCAGTCCACGCTTTGTTACCTCATCAGAGCCATTAAGCCTTAACTTTATGTTCTGTGAAGGACGTAATAAAAATGGGAAACGTACAAATGTTGATATGCATGCTGTTGTTTTTTAAAGGGGTTTTCCGGAAGCCCTTGCCCCCTCAGTTATGCTGCACTGAAGGAATTTCTAGTTTGTTTATAGAATCATAGAGTTGGGAGGGACCTCCAGGGTCATCTAGTCCAACCCCCTGCACAATGCAGGAAATTCACAAATACCTCCCCTGCACACACTCCCAGTGACTGCTGTTCCATACCCAGATGACAAAAAACCTCCAGGATCTCCAGCCAAACTGGCCTGGAGAAAAATCGCCTCCTGACCACGAAGTGGTGACCAGCATTTCCCTGGGTGTGTAAAGAAAGGGCCACATGAACTAAGGCACTGAGGCACCCTAACCCTTCCTGCCCTCCCTCTCATGATCTGCCTGAGTTCACAGGATCCGCATGGCTGTCAGAGGGCCACCTAGCCTCCATTTGAGAACCTCCAAAGAAGGAGAGCCCACCACCTCCCGAGGAAGCCTGTTCCACCAAGGAACCGCTCTGTCAGGAAGTTCTTCCTAATGTTTAGCTGAGAACTTTTGCTTCAAATTCTGATTCAAATATTGCTTCAAATTCTATGAAATTAGTATTGTTTCAAATTCCATATCGCTTCAGATTCTGTGAAATTCATTCTGTGCGAAACGTAAAATTGGTTTTTGAAACTCCACGGTTAACATGTGGATATGGTCACAGTGTGCAGTATGATGAACGGGAGAGTGACTTAAGCGTCAGCGGAAACATAAATGATGGGAAAACCTTTGAAAGGCTTTCGCCAGACCTTATGGGTTCTTTTGGATGCAGGAGGAAGCGATGCATGGTGGCACACGAGAAATCCCTGTATTTGTTTAAGTCCACAGTACTCCTACACTGGCTGTAGCATAGCCAGCAAGGCTCGCAAAAGCTCAGCTGGAAACACACGACCCCTACGCTGTCTTTGCTTTGCAGAGTTCCATGTAAGCCTCACTGCTCGTACACTGACCTCCTTCACCACGTTTCACACTTTGGCCCTCCACAGCCTCCGTTAATGCAGATTATAGACTAACTTTTCCCCCCAGAGGTCATCATTATCTAGCCAACTCTTCCCTACAGGTTTTTGCCAGTGTCTCATAATTTCCACAGAAATGGGAATTACAGAAGGTAATAGAATCACACAGATGCCTGCCTGGTTGAATAAACGGAAGCAGAGAGTAGGAAACGATGGAGAGTTCTCACAATGGAAGGAAATAAGCAGCAGGGTCCCACAAGGACCGGTATTGGGGCCGGTGCTATTTAATTTATTCATCAGTGATCTGGAATGCATATAGTGATCATCACCTTATACATCAGAGGTGTCGAACTTATTTGTTAAATGGGCCAGATCTGACATAAACGTGACTTTGTCAGGCCGGACCATGTGTGCCATAAAACATAATGCCAGGTGGCCAAACTGCGGCTCGGGAGCCACACGCGGCTCTTTCACACACATTGTGTGGCTCCCAGCAGAGCAACTGGGGAAGTCTTCCCTTCCCCAGCCAGAAGGCAACTTTAAATGCATTCTCAAAGCGCCCCCCCCAGCCTACAAATATCATTGGACAAATAAATATCATCAATATCTATTTTACCCCTTTTATTTTTATTTTTGGCAGTCTCATTTAATGTTAATAAAAAGCAAATTTGCATATTTTTCAATCAAACATCTCTGCAATATTTGTTCATGTCATGTGGCTCTCAAACATCTGATGTTTATTCTGTGTGGCTCTTACGTTAAGCAAGATTGGCCACCCCTGTGCTGCATGGGGGAGAGTATAAATATGGCGACAGCACCGGTCACCAGGATCATCTGCACACACACCGGTGCAAATGCTGATCCCTGTGGCCATCCGGGACAGCATCCTTGGAGCTGCAGATGGAGCAGAGGGGTGTGCAGTCTCAAGCCTTGGAACCCCCGAGCCAACAGGAATGCAGCCGCAGTGGCTCCCGACTTACCACTGAGGCTTCCACTGAAGCAAAAGGCTTCCGCTTGACTGCTGGAGATGAGGCGGTTCCACCGTGCTGAAGCCAGAATGGGAGAGGCTCTGCCCACTCCCCCCCCCCCCGGGCAGCCTCCTGTTCCTTCCCTCGCACCAGTTGCTGGCAGGCTGGATAAGAGCTCTGGACAAGGCAGTTTCGGCCCCCGGGCCTTTGTTTGACACCCGTTATACATCCTACCCGCCAAAATAATGTCATGGATGTATTTAGTTCCTTCCTTCCATGTCTCAGTATTTGGATTAGTCCAAACGCCACTAAAGATCTAGTTAAATGAGCCCATTAAAGCACTCGAATTTTCCAAATCTTAACCTACCTTGTCGAAGTGCTTTATTTTCATCTGTACGACTTATAGGGTGCGTTCAGATGGGGCGTTTCAGCCGGCATAAATTGTACCAGTTGGAACCGTTGCAGTTTATGCCGGCTGAAACACAATCACACTTACCTCCTGTCTGCGGAGCCCATCACTGTATGCCCGTTCACACACAGCGGGCGTCGGCGGTTTTTTTTTTTAACTTAGTTTGCGCATGCGCATAGGCAGCCATCCACAGAATGGCGATCTTCGCGCATGCGCAAAACACCCTGTCCAGAAAAGCATGCCCTGAAGAGAGGACTTCCTTTAAAGTTTAAAGAGCAAACTGGCCTCCCTGAGGTCGCGGACTCCTCTAAAACGTTAAACTAAGGACCTTTTCTTTCTTTTTTTAAACAAACGCCGGCACAAAGCTTCGCCCAAGCGCATATCGCCGACCTAAAAAAAAAATGGTGGGCGAAAATCGGAAGCCTTGGGCTTCCGAACAGAAGTGGCTCTACAACAGTGGAGAGCGATCAGACGGGAGGGAAGTAAAGTGATTACAACCGTTGCACTCTGGATACCACCACTTGGGGACCTAGTGGCAGAATACAACGGTTTAAAGCTCTTTGCAACGGTTAGGGACGGAAGGCAGATGTTCGCCGTGTGAATGTCAGTAAGTACACTGATTCCAAATGGCACCTATACCGTTGTAAATGCCCTGTCTGAACGCACCCATAGAATCATAGAATGTTAGAGTTGGAAAGGACCTTGCAGGTCATCTTGTCCAACCCCCCTGCACTCTGCAGCATAGCCGAAAGATAGCCCTGCAACATACCCGAAAGATGGTCGTCCAGCCTCCGCTTGAAAACGTCCAGCAAAGGAGCATCCACCACCTCCCGAGGCAGTCTGTTCCACTGCTCAACCAGTCTGACAGTTAGGAAGTTTCTCCTGATATTTAGCTGGTAACGACTCCCTTGTAACTTCCACCCATCAGATCTAGTCTTGCAACCCCGAGCCTTCTCTTTCCCAGGCTAAACAGACCCAACTTAATGATTTCTATGCTTCATAACGGGAGCTATCAGTTTCCCTTTTCACCAGCTAACACCCTTGCAAGTAAATGTTTTAACATTTATCTACCTTTAATGTCAACATGCTTTCCATGCCCATCCATAAAGGAACTTTTGGAAATTAACTATGATACCATAATTAAGCTTTTTTGAAAAATTAATCCTTTCATGGAAGCGAGCCCCACTGAATAAAATGGGACTTTGAGCAGGTCTGCTGAGGGTTGCTCCCATAGTGTGTTTCCATCCCACCCTTCCTCCAGTTCAGGATGACACAGCAGCATTGGGGAGAGGGGGACACGTAACATCCACATCCCACCTTGGCTACCTGTAAGCAGGTCAACCCAGATTTTCACCAATCTGACACCACCTTCCCTTTTGCACACTAGGAGGTGATCTCAGAAAGGGGCGGTGTTTCAGGAAAGCCTTGTTACACCAAATGCTTTATCTACAGCAGAGGCTAACTATATTTTAACATGACTGCTGGCCAACTATACCAAGGTTTTGTCTATCGATAGAGATCCAGTAATGGAGACCACACAGGTGTTTTTCCAAAACAAAATAGTCTTTTTACGGAAGGATTTCGAGTTCACACATACAAAATAATCAGTCTCTCGGTTTCACCTACATTCAAGGTTGCTTTAGAGTTACAGAAAGAAATCAAAATAGATTATCAGTTACTTGGAGCTAGGTAGGTATATTTTGACTTATACTCGCCTGTTTCCAGAAGTCTTGTCTGTTGCAATGGAAGAATAAGGGATAAAAGAATTCCTCGGGATTTTAGCTAACTCACACCTGATAGAACCTGCTAACAAGATGTGGACCTCATTAGCTGCAGTCCAAGAGATTTTAAAGTAGACAAAGGATTGTGGTATAGGAAGCTGGGCTTAAGAGGTGGTAAAAGAAGACGGAGGTCGTAGAGAAAGGGTGGTTAGCAAAGACCTAGGGTTTGGGTCTTTACTTTTATAGTGGAACCTCCAGGTGGGTGGCACCTTGCCAAGCTGTAGTCCCACCTACTCACAAGTCCATCCCATGAACTACCTGATTGGTGAATGTAGAAAGGGGCTGGTGTTCCTATGGGTTGGGCCAATATTTGAAATACTATCCTCTATCTCATGGAATACCATTTGGCTAGGTGCGAATTCTCTTCTTCCTGCCTCTCCTTTGAAGTACAAATGAATCTTGGCTTTCCCGGGCCAGTTTGGTACCGTCAACAGGAAACTGCTATACAGATGCAGATCAAGTCCATGCTCTAATGGGGGATCTTCTTCTCCGAGTTGTCGTTTTCTGCTAACAATGGCTAACATGTGCTTCTCCTTCCCATGATGCACTCTGAGCTGAATGTGTGCAAGCTACATTAACATAAAATCCAGGCAAGTGTTTTCCTATGTGAATTCTGCCTCACAGTAGGTAATTCAAACAGCTTTCTCTAGGCTCATGGTCTAGGCACACAGTCTCTAGGCACACAGTCCATGTGTGTGTGTGTGTAGCAGATATAAATTCATAAATGAGTCCATTTCTCAACAGCCTTAGGGACCTTCAGTAGAAGTAATCCTCAGTGCCTCCTTTGATGAGGATTTTGAAAGGACACCCCATGTTTTATTAGTCCAAAAGGGGAACTCCTTGCCCCTGAGAGCCCCAAGAAATATGGGCCCTACACCAGGAACCTCTTTGCCAGAAGTGACAAGCTGAAATAGCAGGCAGGGAGATGAGCTGAAGACTGCAAGTTAGCCACGACAGTTCTCTATACTCTTGGCTGTTTTGCCATTGTGGATGTCTACCATACCTACTGTGTATGTGTAAGACTTGCCCAGCTGTCTTTCTCCTACAAACAACCACTTCAGACTTTTTCGACCTTGCAGACATTAGAAAGGTAGAGGTAGGAGCCCCTGCCGTTCTCACACAAGCATACAACTTCCCTTCTGAGAGGTGGCCTACTGAATGACCTGGGAACACCTGTCCAATTAAACCCATGAGAGTAACATGGAACCGACCAAAGGTGCATCTTGGATTCAGGACAGCCGGGGTGGGTAAAAACAAGGGAAACGGGAGGGGGGAAAGTTAAAAACATAAGGACACGAGAAAGCCTACAAACCAGGTTGAACTTTAATTCAAATGTTTTATAAATTAGAGGGGGGGGCCTTCCACCCAATGCTCCCTCTAAGCTGCGGGGTCTTATCAACAAAAATTCTACTTTGTGAGCTACTGGCATTAAAGTTGTGGGCGAGCCATCTGGCTGCTGCATAAATCAGTTTGCTCTGGAGCCGTCCTTCCCGAGCTCAGACAAAAATTCTGTGAGCTGGAGGCTAAAAAATTCTGAGCAAGCTCACACTAGCTCAGCTTAGAGGGAACACTGGCCCCACCCACCCTGAGGAGATTATGTTAAATCCTGGTGGATTCAGTTCAGAGTTTAGGGATAGTTAACCAGCAGGGTGAGAGGTCTCTTTCTTTAGATCCTGCTTTTATGGCTGATTGGCATGTGAAGTTGCTTAACATGTAGGCTTGGCAGAGAGAGCGGCTGGCCCATTGTAGCCCACCTTGAGTCCCATCCTGGAGGAACAGCATTTCTAGTCCTACTAAAAAACTGGACAGTCCAGTGGACTGTAGAACTCCCGAGAGTCATGAGGAAAGACCACTGAGCCAAACCTGTATTAGAACCACAACAAATTTGTATATGCAAGCTGAACGCTCATCTTCCTCCAATCAAGGCATCTGTCCAGACAGACAGACGGATCTTAGTGGTGTGGCCAAGAGAGCCATACAAGTCAGGCATGTTGCAACCTCATTTTGAGCACTGTGTACAGTTCTGGTCACCACACCTCAGAAAGGATATTATAGCATTGGAGAAAGTGGAGAAAAGGGCAACTAGAATGATAAAAGGGTTGGAACACTTTCCCTGTGAAGAAAGGTTAAAGCGCTTGGGGCTCTTTAGCTTGGAGAAACGACAGCTGAGGGGTAACGTGATCGAGGTTTATAAGATTATGTATGGGATACAGCAGATAGAGAAAGAAGTACTTTTCTCCCTTTCTCACAATACAAAAACTCATGGGCACTCAATGAAATTGCTGAGCAGTTGGGTTAGAACAGATAAAAGGAAGTCCTTCTTCACCCAAATAGTGATCAACGAATGGAATTCACTGCCACAGGACGCGGTGGCAGCTACAAGCATGGACAGCTTCAAGAGGGAATTAGATAAGCATATAGAGCAGAGGTCCATCAGTGGCTATTAGCCACAAGGTATAGATAGGAAGTCTCAGGCTGGGGTAAGTGATGCTCTGTATTCTGGTGCTTGGGGGGGAGGCAAGAGTGGGAGGGCTTCTAGTGTTATGGTCCCACTGCTGGACCTCCTGAGGGGACCTGGTCTTTTTGGCCACTGTGTGACAGTGTTGGACTGGATGGGCCTTTGGCCTGATCCAACATTGGCTACTCTTACGTTCTTATGTTCAGAGACTCTTTTGCCAAACCAAATGGTATTTGGTCTCAGAAGGAGTCTGTCTCCTTTCGTAGGAAAACCTGCTGCCATTTCTTCTGGACAGAACTGCAGCTGCCCTTTATCTTAGACAAAAGGCCGAGAAGCAACAGACACAAAAGAGCAAAAAATGATGAAGTTTTATTTACAAAAGCAAATATGTTCAAGATTTTCAGTTCACTTTCAACTCATGTAGCTTTAGAAAACTAATAGTGGTAATTCAGCCTAGAGCAAATGAACTCTTTCATAGTTAGACAAAAAACACCCCTACACATTTTGACACAGTGACAGAATAGATTTGAAACAGTGACAAAAAAGATTTACTTCTCCATCCTCGAAATCAAGTCATCACAGATTTTTGTGAGTTCGTCATTTTCCCTCACCTGTTAAGGAAAAGAATGATACGCAAATTACACACACACACAAAATCAGCCACCCCAATCCTAAAACAGTGGCTCGCAGACTGACAATTAGGAGAGGAGGCTTGCTATAGATGAAGAGTCTTGTGTTTAACCAGCAAAAACATCCATCAAAAGTAGGGTTGCCAACTCATCGCTGAGAAATTCCTGGAGATTTGGGGAGTGGGGTCTGGGGAGGGCCCTCAGCTATAGAGTCCACCATTCAAGGGAACGGGACGCTCCAGTCTGGAGAACAGTTATAAGTCTAGAGAGATCTCCAGGTCCCACCTGGCAGGTTAGCAACCGGAACCACAAGGGATACCAGAAGGAAGACCTGGGGACTGCAAGGATTTGGGGAGGGGAGGGCGGGAAACACCTGCACGTGTTCATCCTGTCAGCTTCATCTGCCTTAAGTCTAGATCTGTTATCCAAATGGAACAGCTCACTGGAAACCTTCCGACACATCCATGGAGTATTCCTTAGGACACCTATTCCCTTGTAAGCCTGGAACACTTCTGTCTAATACCGGTCTAGAACCGCTGCCAGGGCTTCAGACTGACCTTCTGCTCCAGATGTTTCTCCAGCGACTGGACTCTCACTTGCTCCTTGCGCAGAGTAGCCTGCAGTGCTGCCGCCTCCGCTTTGGTTTTACTGCTTAGTTCGGCGATCTCTTTATTGGCTCTAAACCGAGAGTTATGGAGGCCTGTCAGTCATTTCAGATGGAGACCCGCCCCCACCCGTGAGACAGCCAGCCCCCCCACACACACACCATAGGCTACGTACTGGCTTAGCTTTTCTTCCGCGTGGGCCTTCAGGGCTTGGTATCTCTGCTCTTCCCTCTTTGCCCTGGCAGCATATTCTTCAACGCATTTCTTCAGAGCCTCTTCATTCTATTATTATTAAGATACGTGTATATATTTACATGCCACCCCTCAGCCATCAGACTCCTCGGATGTCAAACCTAAAACTGTTCCCTGCTTCAGCCCTCAAGAACAAAACTCGGCAGACACGAAAACAGCAGGGTAGAGAGCCAAGACAACCACCTCTCCAGAGGAAGAGGAATAGGCTGGCAGCCAGCCAAAAATCGGGATTCCACTCGACACTCTGTGGACAACGGCGACAGAAGTCGGCGCTCTGCCTGGCTGTCACCCACCTCACGTCACAAATTCGGGGCATGCAGATGGGCCAACACAGGAGAGAAGCCATTAGAACCAGTTTGCTGTCGTGGTTAGGAGCGCAGACTCTAATCTGGGAGAACCGGGTTTGATTCCCCACTCCTCCACATGCAGCTGCTGGTGTGACCTCGGGTCAGGCACAAGTTCTCTCAGAGCTGTTCTCACATGAGCGGTCCTCAAGAGCTCTCTCAGCCCCACCAACCTCCCAGGGTGTCTGTGGTGGGGAGGGGGAAGGGAAAGGAGATTGTAAGCCGCTCTGAGACTCCCTTGGGTAGTGAAGGGCGGGGTACAAATCCAACCTTTTCTTCTTTTCCTTTCAGACAGCTAGCCCGTCTCAGTCTCAGACCAGCACCCTGAACTATACACCTGAAGGGACTACAGTAGTTTGGGCACCAACAGCCATCTAGCGGATGCATTCTGAACAGCAGCCTCCATAAAGCAGGTTCACAGAGCGCTTTCACGCTCTTGCAAGGGCCTCGGCGGCCCCTCTTCTGGCCACCAGTCAGATTCCTACTGTTACCGGTGAGCCTGCATAGATTGCTAGAGGCATTTCAGAACTATTGCCCCAGAGGGCTTGGAGATGAAGTGTGAAAAGCCTACGTTTTCTTGAGATCTTCTTGGCCCAAGCGACTCTCCTGGAGTCAGCTAACTGGGCCAGTGTCCCGGCCTCGCTGTATAGGTATTATTTTTTCAACCTTCTCTCTCACAGAAAGTTCACCGAGAGGGTGCCTTGCTTTGCGATCAGTGGCCAGCGCCTTGGTGCCTGGCTGTCACTCCCCCCCCCCTCCCTGAGGCCAGCATGTCCCTGCAGCTCTTTAAGCCCTGCTTGTTTGTACAGTGTGCCCCCCACCCCCGGACTGCTGAAGTGGATCGTTGTACCGATTGACCTTTAGTGGTTTTGCTTCAGAAAAAATCAAGAGTTCCCTTGTCGTGATGTCTGGTTTTTCTCCCTCTGCCGGGGGCTCAGTTTGTCCCTGCGGCAATTCAAGCCTTTAGGGCTAAAATGCTGTCCCAGCTTTTATAGGACTGGAGTTGATCGTTGTAGACCAGGGGTGTCGAACTCATTTGTTCTGAGGGCCGGATCTGACATAAATGAGACCTCGTTGGGCCGGGCCATGTGTATCATAAAACGTAATGCCAGGTAGCGGAGATAGAAACTTTATAAAGAACACAGACACAAAGATTTTAACTTTAAATAAAAACATGCTGAAAACATTAGCTCTGTAAGCTGCAAGCCTACTTTTGATTTTTTTGACATTCACCACAGAAATCTCATGCTCAGAGTTCTGAGTCTAGGATCCGGGTGAAGACATGAAATGGCTGAGTGATTGAGAGAGCCTGGCGAAGCAAGCGATGATGCAGCAGCAGCAGCAGCAGAACTGGAAGCAGGAGAGGGCCCAGCTCCACTGTGGGCCTGAGGGAAGCCCTCCTCTGGGGGGGCCTGGTGTGGCCCCTGGGCCGCATGTTTGACACCCCTGTCATAGAGGGTTCCCACCCTGCCCCCTTAAGAGACGCCTGCCATCCAAACCCCAGGCAGGCCCAGCAGCACCTCCTGAGGATCCCCATGGAGGGGGGCCCCCCCAACTCTCCAGGGAGCCCGTCTCACAGAGCCAGAGCCATGATGGAGAAGGTCCAGGCTCTGGTCCCTGCCAGACGGGCCGCCTTGACGGAGGAGAGGCTGGATTTATACCCCTGCCTTTCACTACCTGAAGGAGTCTCGGAGCGGCTGACAAACTCCTTCCCCTTCCCATAACAGACGCCCTGTGAGGAAGGTGGGGCTGAGAGAGCTCTGAGAGAACTGTGACTGGCCCAAGGTCACCCAGCTGGCTTCATGTGGAGGAAGAGGAGTGGGGAATCAAACCGGGTTCTCCGAGAGTAGAGTCTGCACTCCTAACCACTACACCAAACTGGCCCTCGTGGTTGGAGAGCCCACAGACGGCTGCCTGAGGACCACGGTTGGCGCACAGGGACATAGAGGAGGAGACGGCCCTTCAAATACTGCTCCTGGGAACAAAGCTGGAGGGTGTACAAAGACTGTAGCAAGGAGGGGGAATTAACAGATTCCCTTCCCAACGGACACCACTCACCTGTGTGAGTCCTTCCGTCAACAGAGCCCGTGTGCTAGGTAGCACACGGGCTCTGTTGACGGAAGGACTCACACAGGTGAGTGGTGTCTGTTTCCACACAAGAAGCAAACCCTCCCCCATCTTCCTCGGTTCCTAATGGCTCTGAACGCCTTAAAGCAGGGGGGGGGGGATTTGTTCTAAGAGCTTCTTTTATTCCTGGGCCTTAGGGTCCAACCAAGTGTTTGCAAGTGAACACCACCAATGTTACCGAGGTATACGAGCAAAAGTCCAGTCCCTGCCTCAGGAATTGACAATAAACGTGTCAACAGGGGGAGACCAAGGGACAACCCAGCTTTCTGTCAGGTGAGGTTCAAAGCCGAGGCTCAGGTTATGGGCTTCAGAGGAAAAAAAACGGGGGCTGTGCTGAAGGATCTGAAGGGGTCTGGAAAATAGCTGACGCCACAAGGTGCCCCCGGAAGGAACACCAGAAGCTACGAGGAAGACGGAAGACTTGTTTGAGGGAGCAGAAACCCCTTGGGTGGCCAAAGGCAGGAGCCGGCAGGGACTCACCTTCTGAAAGCCTTCTATGGCCTCTTTCCGCTTCTCCGATCGTTTGAAGAGGTCGGCAAACGATTTTTCCATGGAATTCAGGTCAGAGACGAGTTGCTGTTTTTCGTCGAGTGCTTTCTGCAGTTCTTTTCTGGCAAGCTCCTTCTGGTTCTCGGAATCCTCTAGGGAAACAAATGGGTGGGGCAACTGATAGGACTGCTTGGTCCGGGGCACTCCGGGAGAGACAGATGCCCACGAGACACGGTTTCTGCACAAGCCCTTCCCTCTCCCGACACCTGCCCCTTGTCCCAGTGAAACCCGGTCCCTACCACAGAGCCAGTAGGGGCTGACAAACGTGGCCTGTGAGAACCGGGTGTCACGCCGCCTAAGGAGCCCAGCACTTAGTCAAACCTTCCTTTCCTGCTAATGCAAAGTCCACACCTTCTACTCCTCTGAGCATTTCACTTGAGAATGAGAACATTCAGGGCTCTCAACACCACCCGTGGTAGCGGCCGCTCTGTGCCAATGCACATGCCAGGCACAATGCACGTGCCAGGCTCAGTCACTCCACGGCCCTCCTCGCTGAATGGCACGAAGTGGAGAGCCTTGGAAAGACCAGCCGGCTACATACAGCCCTTTGGGTTCAACCAGGGGTCCCCGGCGGGCCCACTGGCACCTTCCCTGGCACCTGCCGAGGGTCTTTAGGAAGTGGGTGGGGCCCGATGGGGATGTTGCCCTGCAAGGCTACGGATGGGCTGTGCAGATTTTCAGAGGCGCCACAGCACAAGGATCTCCACTGGGTGGCTGACGGGAAGCGGCGGTAGCCCTTCCGGGACTGGCTCTGCCTCCCACGGAAGCCGTTTTGCAGCTGCCTCCCCCCCCCCCAGCGTCAGGATTCCAGAGGTGCCCACAGGCTCAAAAAGTCAGGTTTCAACGTTCAAACCAAAGAGCAGCTGTGTCTGATCAGCCCTCCGTTTGGTCCGGCACTCTCTTTCCCAAAGCTGCCCCATGGAGACAGAAGCCTTCCCAACACGGGCATTCAGAAGATTATATATCTCATAGCCAAGGTCCCCTCTACGTGCAGATACCTAAATCCACACATCTGGGGAACCCAGGGAGCAAAGAGATTTTCCTGCACACTTGGGGCACTCCCCAGGTGTGCAGAAAAATCTGAAACGTAGAAGAAACTATAGGGGGGATACTTAAATCCCCCCCAAAAGTAAAGGAGCGCAGAGAACGGACTATGAACTGGTCCTCCCCGCTATTGCGGGGGAGGGGGGAGGCTTGGCGGGCCAGCGGCTGGGAGCTGCACGGGCCTCGCTGTCAGTGCCCGGGGGGGGGCAGGGAGAAGGCCCACCTGCGGCTGCTTCCTCCTCCTCCATGTCGAGCGCCCCCCCCCCCCTGCAAGTATTGCGGGACCCTGCTTCTTGTATCTCCCGAATACAGAAAGCCCATTCAGACATGGCCAATCGCCCTTCACTGAACCACTCTCCTTTAAAACCAAATTACTAGTAGCCTTTAAAAACCAAATTACCACTCCCTTCCACCCTGATTCTTTGTATAGAGGACTGATTCACACATTCAAATCCTGGAAGCAAAACACTGAGCCCGTGTTAGTTGCCTCTGACGTAGAAGATAGAGAAGGAAAGATCTCAAAGTTAGGTTTATAAGTTTGCACTTACCCACTATTTGTGTTATGGTGCCTTCGAATCCCGCCAGTATTTTTCTAAAGAGGAAAATAAATTACGCTCCATCTGTTGCTAGGAAGTTTGCAAGTTTTCACACATCTGAAAGGGTGACCCTGTGTCAAACTGGCTGTACATTTTGCAGCTCATTCGCCGTAGCAACTGGGGAGGGGGATGTGGGAGAGTGTGATCTGAAAGGCTTTCGCTTTGGGGCAGGCTGCTAGCCTCTGCTTTGAAGTACCAGGCCTCTTATCACCTCTGAGAACTCAGGCCGTCCTTGGGTCTCAGCTTCCACTGCTTGGATTCATCTTGCCTATTGGGGGGATGGCATAGTGAGGGGGGGTTGCTGCTGGCCTTTGCTTTTGGCGGGTGGAATACTAAGGATAGATCCATTAATGTCTCAATAAATCCATCGTTCTCCAGAGCGAATGTTGTTGGGGACTGATTTGTCCAGGAGTCTGACACACTGCTCTTTCCAGGCTATTTAGACACACCCCCTTATCATTCAAGTACGGAAGTGGATTAGAATCAAGACAAAAGCTTCATGGCTGGCTGGGATCGGAATGCAACATACCCTGCCTGGGGGGGGGTGTCTGGTACACTGAGATCATAGAAGCCAGTGTGGTGTAGCAGAGTGCTGGACTAGGATCCCAGAGACCCAGGTCTGTCTCCCTGTCCTCCCATGGAAGCTTCTAGTTGGCCTTGGACAAGTCACTCACTACCTTGCAAGGTCGTTGTGAGGATGAAATGGAGAATGACGTAAGTCATTTTCAGGAGAAAGACAGGCCACAAATGAAGTGAATAATAAACCAAGCAGGAAACAAGCTTCTCTCTTTCCCTTGACACATTCTAGGAACACTTTCTGCTCTCAGCATAATGACTCAAACTGAAGTGTATTTATGCAGTATTTAGTCCTTTTGAGAAAACTGCTCTAGAGCTTGGATGTACATAATTGTACTTACCTCATTTCTTGCGTTTCAATGGAAATTTTGTCATACTTTGCCTTCCATTCCAAAACTTCCCTCTGCTTTTCTTGCACCTGAAAACACAAGGTTCTTTAAGCACTTAGCGTCAAACGGCATGCCTCCGCATCCAGGGCAGAAACAAAGAAATGCAGCGGGTGAGAGGCGAGACTGTGCTTCAGTCTGCCCAGGACAACAGCGATAGAATTTGACAGGCAGGGGCTCCGCACGGACTTGCAGCGGGGCAGCTCGTTTTCCTCTCCCACGATTTCTTCAGTCCCTTTCCTGAAAGGCCTCATAGCCTGCCCCCTTCCCGATTCCTTCTTATCACCCACCAGCCGTCCTACCTTTACCTCTGCCCCCTTACCTTCAGCCTCTCCCTGGGAAAAGTCTGGCCCAGGTACTCAGTGCCAGCAGTTGAGCTGGGCTGAGTTGCCTGGTGTGGGCCAGGCCGGACCCAGTTGCACAGCGTAAGGAAGTGGGAGGGATCTCACTTTCCCCCATTTCTCCCTCTCCCTACACCATTTTCTTCTCTCCTCCTGGCAGCCCCCATATCCTCACGCTCCGCTTCCCTCCTTCCCACCCACGCCCTTTTTTCCTGCTCCCCCATCTTCAGCTATATAGATTCCTTCACTTCAGGTATACCCCACCTTCCTCCCCACCGGAGACCCAAGGCAGCTGACACACTTCTGCTTAAGAAGTACAGATTTAGATGTTGCCACTTGGGTCTTACATGCAAAACCTCTGCTTTGGCTCCACCGTGCCAATGATCAGTGGTCTCAGATCTCTGAGCAGGATCCGGAAACCGCAGCTCAAATCTCTATTGCCTTGGAAGCTCACTGGGTGACCTTGGCCAGTCACGTAGCCTAGCCTACCTCACAGGGCTGCTCTTGCCCGGGAACCCAGCTGGGAAGGTGCGAGAAGGCAGAGTACTACTCCCCTAGCATAAAACAGAACTATTACGTGCAGGGGCCATTTCCTGCAGGAGCAGTAAGGAGCCCAGGGGGTGGGCACATGCAACAAGCCCCGCCCCCTGCTCCCAGCAGCCCTCAGTTGGGCTACAAGGAGCAAGAAGCAGCCAGGTAAGTTGCAGAGCCCCCCCCCCGGCCCACCTTCATGTACAAGCTCTCCCTCCTCTGTGAGGGCAGATCTGCGTGTCCCCCCCCCAAATAGCAATCCAAAACAGTCCAGTGGCACCTTTAAGACCAAGTTCTATTCAGGTACAAACTCTCCCTCCTCTGCAGGACAGATGAGTCCAGTGGAGACTGAGCGGTGGGTGTTGCCTTCTGACACACTTCCGGTGATGTCAGGGGGTGTGGCATATGCAAATAAGTTATAATAATGAGTTATGCTAATGAGCTCCTGCACCTCTTTTTCTACAAAATGACCCCTGATTACGTGAAAATGGCATCCAGACTCTTCTAAATCCATCCTTTCGGATGCAGCAAGCAAACGACACCCCACTCAAAGCCTATCCAAGCGGTATATATTCCAAAGGAATTTACCTCGGAAGTAAGCTTTTGAACAACAGCATCCACCTCTCGCTTCGCCTCGTCTACGGCCGCATCCATGTCTTTCTGGCTATACTGCAACACATCTATGATGGCCCCAGTAGGCACAGGAGCACAAGGGAACTGTGGAAGACCACTGGTAGTTGGGATGTCTGGAGAAGCTTCAGCCTGCAGTGAAAAAATGTAACACATGTTCACACAACACCTTTTGCACCTCATCTACAATACCTGATGCTTAGAATAGTTAGCTGTACATTGAGTAGCTGAACAAGAATAGTCGCATCGCATCACAGCTTGGAGAAGGCATTTAATGGGAACCACGTTTTCCCCCCTCCATTGGAAACAATGCAGGATGGGGGCACCTTCTTCTGGGACCCATAGAATTGGACCTCCTGGTCCAATCTTTTTTTAAACTTGGGGGGTTTTTTTGAGGGGAGGCACCAGCAGCTATGCTGCAAATTTGATGCCTCTACCTCAAAAAACAGGCCCCCTTCCAGAGACCTCTGGACTGATTCTCCATTATAGCTAAAATGGAGCAAATCAATTTGAGTTTTCCAATTATTTCAGGAATCCCAATACCATACCAATACTGGGATTCGGAAGTATCAGGAAACACCAATATTTTTTGGGTTCAACATATTTGAACCTGAAAAATACCATATTTCTCTATATTATAAAGCTAATTTGGGGTGACCACGCTCGATGCGCTCCCTCAGCCATAGGCTGAGGTGGCCGCCACTCACAGCGGGATGCTGGCCACTGGCCACCATCTCTGCCCCCGCCTGCAGAGGCACCGCCGGAGTGAATGTGCCCTGTGATTTGGAGAGCTGCTTTGGCGTGGCCACGCTCGATGCGCTCCCTCAGCCGTAGCCTGAGCCAGCCACCACTCATGCCGGGAACGCTGGCCGCTGGCCACGGTCTCTGACACCCTCCCACAGATGCGGCGTCAGGGCAAATGTGCCATGCAATTCGAAGACACCGTGGCAGAGTCTTGCCCCGCAAGCCAAACAGCCGCCATGTCCGTCCTCTCCCAAGCACCCATAGCCAGCCGGGCAGTGCTCCCCACCGGTGCCGCCACCGCCCTCGCCTGAATGTGTGTCGCCGCCTTGCCTCCGTGCAATCTGATGACGGGCGGTCCAGCCGCTCTAGCGGGGGGTGGGGGCTCGACCCGATCCTGCCGCCACCGCTTTCACCTGAGCCCGGCGACAGGCTCCCAGCTGCCCTGCACCCGGACGACAGCCGCGCCACCCATTCCAGCGCACAGGGGCCACCTCCGGCCGTGCCTGATCCTGCTGCTGACGATGACTACATGCAGCTGTCTGGCCTGTCACTGGGCGGGGGCTGGCGTGCCGCCGGCCCGAGGCTGCTGGAGGCCACCCAGCCACTCCCTCGCCCCCCAACTCCGGGGGGACAGATCAGGAGACTGGGGACGCCTTCGTCGCGCCGTGCTAGGGCTTGTTGTCTTCCTCCACAACGGGCTTTGCTCCTAGTGTGTGTGTGTGTATTGATTGCACACCTCCAGCCCTGACCATCCAGCCCAGGCTAGCCTGATCTCATCAGATCTCGGAAGTTAAACAGGGTCAGCCCTGGTCAGTATTTGGATAGGAGACCCAACCAAGAAATACCAGGGTCACAACGTGGGGGCAAGTCAATGGCAAACCACCTCTGAAAGTCTCTTGCCTTGAACATTCCACAGGGTCACCACAAGGTGGCTGTGACTTTACAGCAAAACAGAGGCATTTTATTTCCAGAAGCAGACAACTCTTCTAGACGTCAACATGACTTGGTAACACAAAAACTGCTTCTAGCTTCTTAGTTCCCAACAGGAGACAGGGTGGCACACTGAACCTTGATGGTGTCACCAAGATAAGCCACGGAGATTCGACTGACAGCTCCATAAGCACAACCTCCTTAGACAGGAGGGAGTACCTCATATCAGTTCTGCCCTTTCCACCCAGATTTCCTGATATCTTTGCGTTATCGCTGGTGTAGAAGCCTTGACATCAGTTTTGACTTCACACACCCATATCTGTGGAAACTTGACTTCTGGGGGGAAGGTAAACAAATCCAACTTGGGGAGTCCCAAATTGGCAAGTTATTTCTAGGGGGGGGAAACGTTCCAGCTGTGAGACCAAAACTCTGGGTGCACCCACGAACAGCTGGGTCAGTCCCCTTCTGCGTCCAGCCCTATTGCCAGAGGATAACAGGAGGAATGCCCTTCTCAGAGGTCTTCTTCCCAAGGAGAAACACTAACAAAGCAGCAAGTGACATCTTACTGCCACTCATTTTTCAAGCAGAGGGCGAAATTAGCCATTAACTGCTAGGAACCACACAAAACGTCTGTGGACGTCAACTCTTGAGATCACCAAAGTGCTGAGACGAGAAGACTACTAGAAAAATTCAGACAATACTTACCAGGTCTGGGGTTGTTCCTAGCAGGTTCATTTTTAATAGATTCTTATCACTTTCAGGAGTTTTTATTTCAGGAGGAGGTATTTCAGTATCCTGTCTATTAAAAATTCAAATACTGAAAATTAATACATGTAAGTCCATCAACACGGAAAACAATTAAAGTTTCTGTTTATGCCTACCCTCCTAAAGCAGGAACTGCAGGAACTGTTGCAATTGTTTGAGGACCCATTTTCTTAGGACTTTCAATGAGCAGAGGATCAAATTTCAGATAGAGGGACTGCTTCCTCCAAGCAGATTCCTTGAACTGCAAGACGAATCAGACACCACTTGACAGCAACCTTCTGACTTATTTCATTTATATCCCCGTCTTCCTCCCCAGAGCAGCTGACCCCCTTCTCCTCTCCCTCCACTGTATCCTTGCAAAGCCCTTGTGAGGCAGGCTAGGCTGAGAGTGGGCGGCTGGCTCAGAGTCAACCGGAGACCTTCCATGGCAGAGTGGGGATTCAGACCTCGGTTGCCCAGACGGCAGCCCGACACTCTCCTCGCTTGCTCCCAAACTCAGATTCCCAAAGACAAACAAACCCAGGGTCCTTTGGGGGCTTGGACACGTAACCCTCTGCTGACGAGACCAGCATGATACGGAGGCCCCTTAGCGTGGTGGATTAGTACAGATGCTGGACTCATTGGGAGCGACTCTCCTTCTTGGGCCTCTCTCAAGCAATGCTGACAGTCTCCAAATGGAGACTATGTATCGCAGGGGTGTCAAACATGCTGCCTGGAGGCTGGATCAGGCCCCCAGAGGGCTTCCATCAGGCCCGCAGTGGAACTGGCCATCTCCTGCTTCCAGTTCTACTGCTGCATCATCGGTTGCTGTCTTAATCGCTCAGCCATTTCATGTTTTAACCTGGGTCCTAGACTCAGAACTCTTGAGCATGAGAGTTCTAGCCCGCACTGGTGTGAGCTACCAGCCTTGTCCCCAGCTTGCCGTCCACCCAGCAGTTCGAAAGCTTCGGCGAGTAGATAAAATGGGTACCACTCCTTAGAGAGGGTGGGCACACTAAACCCCCATAGGGGAGGTGTTAGCCGGCGAATGGAATGTCCAGCTCGGAAGCCTGGAAAAAAGACCTCTTCGGCATCAAGAAGCCTGTAATGGGCCATTCCGGCCAGGCGGTGGCACGACTCAAAGCAGCCCAGGAAAAACTAACGTCATCAAGCCAAGCTGAAATGAATGCCGCCCGGAACACGACTGAAGCCTACAGCTGAACAAAATTCCCGTTGGCTGCAAACGTGTGCGATTTAAAGATTTATATGTTGTCCTCCCTTACCCCTATCATTGTTAGTCCCTTGTGAAAACCTGTGTAACTGTAAATCGCTCAGAGCCAGCAGCTCTGCAGGATTGAGCGATCAATAAATTGAAAGGTATTATTATTATTATTTCTGTGGCGAATGTCAATAAATCAAAATCAGGTTTGCAGCTTACAGAGCTAATGTTTTAAGCATGGTTTTATTTTAAGTTAAAAAAAAATCTTTATGTTAGTGTCCTTTATAAAGTTTGTATCTCCACTACCTGACATTACATTTTATGACACACATGGCCCAGCCCAACAAAGTCTCATTTATGTCAGATCTGGCCCCCATGAGTTCGACACCCTGGTGTATTAGGACAGCAAGCACTGGAGAGGCATTGTGTGCCCAGATGGCAATGCCACCATGACTGCAGGGTAGGCCTTTTAGGAAGAGGAGCTGGTCTACTGCAGCAGAGCCACTGAGCTCTGGACACACAACCGTTCTGTGCCGCTGCACGTATTTCATACCGAATGAAAGAAAACATATATTTTGGGTTTAACTCTAAACATCTCTTGCTCAGTATGCAATTTTTAAAAAAGAGTACTTCATAGTCTGCTGGAAGCAGGATCACATGGAATTCAGCTGTTGGTAGTACAGATTGTTAGGAAAACCCCAAACTCCAAAGCAAAGGAGTGGGGGAAAATGGGTTGACACAAGTCTGACCAGGAACACAATGGAAACCTCTTAATTCCATACGCGTACAAGGCGGCTTCATCTGGCAACATGCAGGAAACTGGAACGGGGTGGGCGGAAGACCATATGGAGATGCTACTCATTAGACTGGGCTTATAATTGCAGGAAGGACTCTGGACTCCTGATAATCATACAGATCCTCCAGCCTGTCTGCTCCACCTACAACATGCCCAACGTGACTGAAGTGGTTTACTACACTTCAGGAGTTGTTCTGTCACAGTGACCGAGTGCCCTAGAAAGCTGAAATTGTTTCGGGGATCTGTTCTTACCGAGGCCATCCCAAACTGTTCCAAGTAGTCCAGCTCTATGTTCAGTCCTAAAACTGGAATGAAAGAAAGTTAATGGCTACAGAGTCAGTGACAGTATATAGTACTTAGGTGGGTAGCCGTGTTGGTCTAAAGCAATAAAACAAAGTTTGAGTCCAATGGCACCTTTAAGACGAACAAAGTTTAATTCTGTGTACAAGTTTTCATGTCCACACACACACGAAACCTTATATCCAGAATTAAACTTCGTTGGTCTTAAGGATGCCGCTGGACTTGATCTTTGATCTAGTATACAGTACTGATATGTCCAGCGAGATAACAGTCTTCTCTTGAGGTTAAAAAAAGAAATATATGCCCATCGCATTGCAATAGGCTATGTCTTGAAACCACAACTAGCCAGCCTGCTGTTCTTTCCATCTTTTTGTTTCAACCAATTCCAAAAGCTTAACTGGCAGGTGGTTGAATGTCAGGAAAACACACTTGGAAAGCTTCAGCAGCAAAGCCATTCTGAAACATTTGCAGGGGCCACTGGCTAGTAATGTACATTCACTGGCCCAGTTATGCAGTCGCTAGAAGCACTCGGCAACAAGAAGAAGGGGAAGAAGGGAAAGAAGGGGAAGGGGAGGAGATTGGATTTATACCCCGCCCTTCACTACTTGAAGGCGTCTCAGAAACTCCTTTTCCCTTCCCCTCCCCACAACAGACACCCTGTGAGGTAGGAGGGGCTGAGAGAGCTCTCTCAAGGACTGCCCTTGAGAGAACAGCTCTGAAAGAACTGTGACTGACCCAAGGTCACACCAGCAGCTGCATGTGGGGGAGTGGGGAATCAAACCCGGTTCTCCCAGAATAGAGTCCGCACACTTAAGCACGACACCAAACCACATTCAGACTTGCTAAATGCTGCTCCAGGGATACTCGCTCCACATCCCAGAGAGCCACATTCACAATTATCCTCAACCAGAAGAGCCACGTGTGTACACCCCAAACACAGGCAATGCCTAACTACACCATTTCTAATTATCAGTCTACTTCTGACCAGGTAGGATTGTCGTGTGTATCTGGAGGGAGGGGAAGGGCACAGCAGGGAGGGCGAGAGAGCCAAGACACCCAGAGGGCAGGAAGGGAACCACCCACTGTGGCTGACTTGCTCTCCTGAGAGGCTGCAGAGGAGGACAGGGGGTTGTTGGGGAGGGCGGGCCCCCAGTCCCTGCACTTTAGGGAGGCTCACATCTTAGCCCAGGGGTGGCCAAACTGCAGCTCGGGAACTGCAGGTGGCTCTTTTACACAGTCTCATATAATGTTAATAAAAAGCAAATTTGCGTATTTTTTTCAATAAAAACGTGTGCATGATATTTGTTCATGTCTTGCGGCTCACAAACATCTGATGTTTATTCCATGTGGCTGTTACACTAAGCAAGTTTGGCCACCCCTCTCTCAGCCCATCCTCCTGTCCCACTAGCGGTGGCCACTTCAAGGTGGGCGCTGCCTGCCAGCTACAAGAGCCTTGCCCACAGCCTTGGAACGCTGCCACATTGGGGAATAGCACTCAGAACAGCCACAGGTGACTCCCAAGCAGTGTTCCCTCTAAGTTGAGTTAGTGTGAGCTAGCTCACAGATTTTTAAGCTCCAGCTCACAGATCTTTGTCTTAGCTCAGGAAGGAGGGCTCCAGAGCAAGCTAATTTATCCAGCAGCCAAATCACTCTCTCACAACTTTAATGCCAGGGGCTCACAAAATAGAATTTTTGCTCACAAGGCTCCACGGTTTAGAGGGAGCATTGCTCCCAAGCCACTGGGTATCACCATGCGATTCATAAACTAACCTGGCCTATTGAAAGCACACTGTATGGAGCAGAGAAGTACAGCGCCACCCTCAGCATAGTATTCCAACTGCTGACCCAGGCACTGGGAGAAAGAGTCCACACACAGCCATCTATAGAGCAGCCCTTGTCTTAACGTGAGGCATTCAGGAATGTTTTAATAGCCATTGGCAGACATGCTCTTTTGAGCTCCTTTTTCTGTGTTTCAAGGAGCCATGGAGGAAGCAATTGCTTTAAGCACAAGTCACAAAGCTAGATTAATCTTGTTAAAATATTTATTTATTAAAGGATCTAATCCCAAAACTTTTGCAGGTAAAGTCATAGGCCTTACTTTCTCTGGGCGATTTGAACTCCTCATTTTCTGCATTCACAGCCATTTCAGACATTCCACAAGACGTTTTAGACATTAAGTGATGATTACTTAATGATGCTTCACCATCGCCCAAGGAGGTACTCTGGCTCACCTATGAGGCAAACGGCTCTGTGAAAGTTCCATAAGGTGGAGAACACTGTACAGCTCGTATCTAACTTGGTCCCCATCACTTCACCAAGTAATATTTTAATATTGTGGCAGTGGTCCCAAATATACAACTGGATCAAAAAACAGGACAGAAGGCCTGCAAATTTCAGCAGCAAGATGCTTCCATTAATCCTGTTCTTCTAGGAAAAATATTTTTTCATCTTTTATTTTTTTGCTAATGTACAACTGACAGAGACAAAGCTCGGTTCTTTTAAGTTGCCACATAACAGTCACATTCCATATAACGTTACTTTAATCTAGAAATGGTAGTAGAATAAAATGATTTTGATTATGTGATCTGCTAGAGGGAAACGTTCAGTTTTATTGGAACCAATATTCCACGTAGGAACAGAGAGAACAGAGTTTAGCACAACCACAGAATGCAATAATGGACAGAGAGTTCCATGGTGTGGATTCCGTGTTAAGTCTCCACTCAAGAAAGGCATTTCAGCCACTGGAATTAACTTCCTCTCTTCCCTTCTCCCACTGTGGCCCCAAGAGCTGTTCTTGTTCCCCAAGAGACCCCGGGAATAACATGAAGTACATGTCAGCAAATGTCACACAACAAGCCTTTCCATTAGCAGAAATTTACTGTGCAATAAGCCGGCATTCTGGGAGTTTATTGTTTTAAAGAAAACAGATTTCCAGCCTTCAGCACTGCACAAACCGGCTTGAAGCCACAAGCAAGTATGAGTAGGATTTCCAGTGGCCGAGGAAGGGGTTTGGTATGGGCTTTCCTGCTTTACGTAGCTGTTTGTTGTCTCCCAATGACCAGCAGAAGGAACTATGCAAAATGAAACAAAGGCAGGCCTAAGTTGAATATTCATCATCTATACAAGCTATAGAAGTAACTTTTGACACAACGGGAATTGTGCTGGTGCAGACTATTTTTAGTGTAGCGCTGACACAATCCTCAGCGTAGCGTAGGAGTATTATCATACATGGCCACCATACCTCTTGCTCCACTGAAGGCTCAGACTGGGTTTCTGCTTCAACCAAAGCTTTGTCGTCAGTTACTAACGGCTCCGTCTTCTCCCTGCAGAGAATCAGAAGGCCAGTCTTATAGCACTTGACAGTAAAAATGTTTCAACACGCTTTATGAACAGTGTCTTTACACATTTATGTTCCTCACTTTTGCCCTCCGTATCGTCACTAGTACCAACATGAACTTGCTCTCTGAGTACTTATCCTGTTGAACTTTTAACAGCTAGAGATATAATTAGCCACCACCCCCCACCCTACGAGACCACCATTATAATGCTATTTCTTTTTCAAGGACTGTATACAGGGGCAGACTGGCCCTTTCGGCCACTGGGACCTTTCCCAGGGTGCTGATGGCTTCTCCGCTTTCTGGGCACGGCCACCCTGGTGGCAGAAGGGCAGAGTCCAGTGATGAGGAGGCTGCGCTCAGTGTGCCTCTCTTCCCTTCCAGGGGGAGGCGCTGTTCCAGAGCCTTTCACTCCTTCTCTGTCTACCCCTGCCTGGGCACAGGTCAAGTACTAGGCCAGTAATGGTTTAAAATCAGTAGACTAGAATGAAACCAGGGTACACAACCCATGCAGCATTAAGAACACTGATGAGAGACCTTTCCAAAAGGAATAGCAACTGATGCTTGGCTTTAAGTTTGCCGGAAAACCGCTAAATAAATTGCAGTAAAAAACAGATTAACAGAAATAAGGTTTTTACTCTTTCTACAAAATTTAAGAACCCCATACAGAGAAGAGAAGCATTCCTAAAATAGTGACGGTAGCAGTTCCATTAGAAGGGACTGTTGAACTAATTGTGCGCACATACTTATAATTTGATTCCAAAGATGTTAGAGGTAAGTACTGGTACGTTTGAGGGTACTTTCTGGTTAAACATACACAGATCAAAACTTTAAAGTGTTCCTTTCAAACTCCTGATCAGAGATTAACATTTCCAGACATTCTGAAGCCATGGAATAGGACATTCCCTCCCAGGAAAAAAAATGAATACTTTGGTAAGATATAAATATATACAATAGCTGCTTTTCTAGCAAATCTAAACTTTTTGCTGGTTTAACAAAATACATCATTGATAACATCATATAAAACTTATCTTATTAAAAACTTATCATATAAAACAACATTAAATGCCATAGTTTTCTACAAATAACAAATATACCAAATCTTAACAGCTGTAAACTGTTGCACTCTGTACCATCATCACACAGTTTAAAAGAAAAATACTGTATAGGGAGTTCAGTGTGTGTGTCCCCCCACCCCAAACTTCCCAGTTTTCCTGTTGGAAAAACTGGAACAAATTCCTTGGGGGACAGGGACTGACTTTTCTGAGTGTGTGTCTCCACTCCTGAGTAAACATGCATGAGCAGTTGGATTACTGCCAATACATTCTCTACATGGGGCTGCCCTTAAAGACAACTGGTCCAGATTACAGCAGCCCTAACTAGTATTGTCAGGCGCTAGCAACCAGGAAAATATGTTGCCCGTGTTTAAGCAGTTACATTGGCTGCCAGTCTGTTTCTAAGTTATAGTCAGGGTGTGGTTTATGACCTTTAAAGCCATCACAACTTGGGACCCACATATTTGGGGGACCGTCTCTTCCCATATGTCCCCATGCACCAACTACAGTCATCAAGGAGCCATCTGTTGGCACCAACCAAGGCCCAGATCTTATCTGTTGTGCCTCTGGCTCTGTGGAACAGGCTTCCTGAAGAGGTGAGGGGGGGACCCATTCCTTAGAGACCTTTAAAAGGTGCCACAAGGCCTGCCTGTTTGTCAGGGCTCTGAATGGGTTACATAACAGAATTGAGGATACCAGGCAGTTTGAAATAATTAACATTAAAGGCTTCCATGGTTTTAGAATATGCTGCCTTTCTGCCCTTTATCGAATTACCCACCCTGCACTATCATAGATGAAACCAAAAAACTTGTAAAATGAGACTTTTAATGGGATGTATATTACTTCTCTCAATTCTAAGACAGTTCCAAATACAAGAAAACACTTACTGTGTCTCGGGTGGTATATCAACAGCTTTGGATTCATCTGGAGAATTACACTGTTGTATTGGAGGAAATTCTGCTTTTGCTGGGATGTTCTTCTCTTTGACATTTGTTCTCTCAATACGAGGCACAGACTTCTCAGGGGAATTCTGAATTTTGCAGCCACCCAGCAGCTTCAGGTCAGGATCACCAGAAGTATCCTCATCAAAATGTGAAGTTGCCGTGGGGACTAAAAACTCGTCCATCTCAGTCTTGCTTTCCCCCTCAGTCCTGTTCAGCACATCCCTGTTAACTGAATCTAGTTTCGGGGAAGGAGTCTTTATTTCCACTCTCTTGCCTGGTTTTCCTGGAGACAATTTGATCAAAGGCGTCCCAGCAAACTCAACTTCTATTGATTCCAGTTCTGAAGTATTGGCATCTTCCTCATATTCTTGGGAGATTTTGTTTACAACTGGAGAATTTGGCGGCTCTGAGGCCCCTGCTTGGAAGGCAATTATTTCTGTACATTTGTCCTTTGTAGCATCAGCAGCATCCTCATCTAATTCAACAGTTTTTTGACACCTGTTATAAAGCAGACTCATTAGTTCAGCCCTTTTAAAGGTGGCTCAGCTGGCTAGCTCAGACTTTGTAAGGATAACTGGGACGCAGATGTACATCTGACACTCATCCCACTTACAGAAATGTCCAAGTATGAGAAGGTTTTAACCGTCCAGATTCAATATGCACACACCCACATATAAAAACAACCTTGTTAGCTGGCACACATGAACTCAGAGAACAAAACACTGGACTTACCTGAAGGTTTCTCCTCTTCAGTGGGGTGAAAGCAACCAAACTGGTTAGGTCACGCCTCCTCTTGCTCCAGGCAGGGCTATGCAAATTTGTGTATGCCTTCCTAGGACAGAGTGAGGGTGTCCCTCCAGACATAAAATAACCTAGCTTGATGCAATTTTAACTCTGTATTTTTTTAATATAAACATTTTATTGATATCAAAACATATGTGAACGAACAATAAAACTAGTAGTAACCATCAACATTCATAAACAGAGGAACAGAGAAAAAGTGAACAAGTAGTTGAAATAGTCAAAGCATTTCAATATATAGCAATAATTTTAAGATTATCAGGATGTGCTGCTTTGATATTACTGTTTTTTTCCATATATCCAAGAAATGGAGCCAGTGTTCCGGACAGTCATAACTTAACATAAGAACATAAGAGAAGCCAATGTTGGATCAGGCCAATGGCTCATCCAGTCCAACACTCTGTCACACAGTGGCCAAAAATACCAGGTGCCATCAGGAGGTCCAGCAGTGGGGCCAGGACACTCGAAGCCCTCCCACTGTTGCCCCCCCCAAGCACCAAGATGACAGAGCATCACCTGCCCTAGCCTGTGAGTCCCTATCTATACCTTGTGGCTAATAGCCACCGATGGACCTCTGCTCCATATGCTTATCTAATTCCCTCTTGAAGCCGCCCATGCTTGTTCAACATTTGGGTTGAAGGTTGAGTTTTGTCCTTCCAATGTCTAGCCACTAAGGTCTTAGCGGCTACCAACATGTTAGATCAGGTCTTCGCCAGTCTCAGGAATCCTGGTTCCTTCCCAGAAGTTAAGTAATACAAATTCTGGTTTCAAGGGAACAACATAGCCTGTGATATCCAGAATTAAACACAAAATATTTGTCCAAAACTGTACCATATGGCGCTTGACCACCAATAGTGTAGATATGAACCATATTGATTACAACCTCTCCAGAACTCAACTCTGTATTAATAAAATTGTACACCTTTAATGGATGACTTAGTACAGTAAGGAAAGACACAACTTATTCGAACATGTCAACATTTTACCCAAACATGAAAACATCCACTAACAAACAGTGGTGGGTGAATTAGATGCCTTTGCTCCACTGAAGAGAAGAAACCTTCAGGTAAGTCCAATGCTTCATTCTCCTTCTGTGGGGGAAGGCATCCAAACTGGTTATTATGTAGCCAAGCATAGTCCGGGTGGGATAAAACATCACATTATTGCTCCAACACCCACTGAAAGACCCTTGTCCCAAATGCCGCTTCCATGGAATTACGCTGGTCGATTCCGTCATGTTTAACAAAGGTGGGGAAAGGCGACCATGTCACCGCCCTACATGTCTCCTCCACAGGAGCTTGTACTGGTGATGCTGTCCCGTGAAAGCAAACTGAAGGTATTTCCTGGACGACAGATGTATAGGGATATATGTAGGTAAGCTTCCCTGAGGTCTAATGAGGTGAAGAAGTCGCCTTGATGTATAGATTGAAAAAATGGTTCGTAGGGTTTCCATATGGAATTTCTGTTGGTTGAGGTCTTTTAAGTTCAAAATTGTTCTCCGTTTGCCCGATTTCTTGGGAACTATAAAGAGGGTAGAGTTTGTGAAGGGGTACTGATTCTACAGCCCCAGACTTACTTTCAGGATATTGTTCGGAACGGGTAAGAAAATAAAACGATGTGGGGGAGCACCATGAACTGTATCTTGTAACCTACTTCCACAATGGATAGGACCCAACGATCTGTGGCAGCCATTTTCCACTGATCCACAAAATTCATTAGGCGTTCCCCAATCCTGAAGTCATGCAGAGGGCTTTTCCCCCTGTGCGCCCATGTCTCATTGTTTGGTGCTGGAGAACTCTCTACATTGAAATATTGACTGACAACCAAACTGCAGTCCAGCCCTGGCATCCTTATTGTCTCTGCCCCTACCAAATGGACTGAAAGGATGTTGTCTTGTAGTGCTTCTCCTTGCTAGTAGACATAGAAGACATAGCTTTTTTCTTTTCCTTAGTCTCAATAAAGCTTTTTCAAGGGCTCTTTCCCCAAAAAGCAGTCCCCCAGAAAATTTTTCAGTGGAAAGGTTGGACTTAAATAAGGGGTCCACCTTCCAATACTTAAGCCAGATGTTTCTTCTTACCACTATGTTTGCCGCCTGAACTCTGGCGCAATATTGAATGCTGTCTTGAGAGGCATCTGATGCAAACTGAACTGCTTGCTTGATCTTCAAAAGGGATCTTTTGAGTGTTAGAAGATCTGGTTCAGTACGCTGTAACAGGTTTTCTGCCCAGATGACTACTGCTCGGGTGAAGTTAGAAAGCACCGTTAAGGATGCTGTCTCATGACAGTTGTTGAGTATAGACTCATTCTTTTTGTCCACAGGAGCGTTTAGGACATTGTCCCCATCTTTGGTCGGCACAGCACCCAAATGTAGGGCCACAACAGGAGCATCAACCAAAGGCAATTTTAAATCCTCCATGAGCTCATCTGGTAAGGTGTAGAATCTTTTAGCAATAGTTTGCAGGGCAGCATTATAGCCAGGCACTAATCATTCTGAATGAAGGAGCTCCTCAAAAATCTCAAGGGGAAACCTGCCAATTTTTTGACTCGCTCTTTAAAACCTCTAATGTCCAAACCGGAAGAAGTAGTGGCATCTGGCTTTTCCACTGTCTCTAAGGAGTAGTTGAGAGTGGTTACTGCCTTCTTAAGAAACCTTCGAATTTTTTTTTGGGGGGGAAGGAGAAAAAATAGATTGTTGTGGCACTCTGGAACTTCTTAGCTTTCTTTTCGAATTTACTCTTACATTCATCTTTATGAAGTTAACTATGGTGGTGTCTTAAGTAACTTTGAATTTAAATATTAAGTAGATGATCATAATCCATGAAATTTTTTTTAGCATATCAGAGTTTAAAGCTAATTTGTAAACTGTACGTATGACCACCATCTCTTGGGTTTTTAGAGGGTTTTTCTTTACTTTGTCTATTAGAATGTAGATTCCCTCCCCTCTTCCCCCCCCCCTCCTTTCGCTGTTTATAGTAAAATGCAATTTTAAAAATTCCCTATGGGGGGCCAAAAAAAAAGAAAAAAAGAAAACCTTCGAATTATGTTCTTGTTGAAAAAGTCTGGCTGAATTATCCTTGGTGTCAGCCTCTTCCCCGGACCACTCTCCTCCTCCTTTGTCTGATGTGATGACAGCTGAAGAGTTGACCGACAGGCTGTCCTCAGTCTCTAATTCATAAGCCCGAGGCTGGTGTCTCCCCCTCTGAACTGCTCTGGGTTTTTTAATGGGTTTTTTAATGGAGACTCCTCTGTCTGTTTACGCTCTTTTCAGAATTTTTTCCTGTGGTAAAGGTGCCTTGGCTGGTTTCCTTCTGAAGACGAGGAGGGAAAATCAGCTGAAGAATCAGGAGTGGTGGAGGGATTCTGCCTCTGAGTCCACCGGGACCTTCCCGAGTCCTCACCTGTTGTTACTCTCCCGTCTGATCTCTCCCCAGTAAGATCACTCATTCCCCCTGTCTCAGTCTGCTGAGGGATTAAGACGGAAATAGTAGATTGTGGGGAAGGGATCCAAGCCAGCCTCCAGGCCTGCACCAACCAGTCGGGGGGGAGGGTCTGTCCAAAAAAGATGGGGGAGGGGGGAAATGGCACGCCCACCATATTAGGTGCTCCTGTAATGGTGGTTGAGGCTTCCATACAGGAGGGGCCCTGACTGTAAAACCCCCAAATCTGGGGTCCAGGCTCAGTAGAAAAGGATTGAAAGGGTTTGGGGTCACAGGAACAGTTGCAGACTCACTGCTCACGTGGCCACGGCTGCTGGCAATAAAAGGTTCTCCGCTCAGCCCTGTGGCCTCGTTCTCACAATGGCGCCACTCCTCACTTCTCCAGCCATCCCTACGCCTCCAGCTCTTATCGGCCCGCAGGGCGGGAAGTTGATGAGGTCATTGTAGTCAGGGAAGGAGCCAAAGCCTTGGGACTTCCCGACTTCTCTCCCAGGTGCGATGAAGGAGTTGCAGTTACCTGCTGCCCTTCCCCTTTGCCTGAGGCCTTGGTGGTTTATCCTTAATGCGATCCAGAGCCCTGCACATTTTCAGAGGGAATGTTCTCCATCCTGCACAGTGGTGGTTTATCCTTAATGCGATCTAGAGCCTTGCACATTTTCAGAGGGAATGTTCTCCATCGGTGTTCAAAAACTTCAACTACCCAACAAGATAAGCTTTATTTCTTTCAGGTAAGTAGATCAAGATTCTAACGCCCTTCTGGAGGGGAAGGGCTATTCAAACTGGAGGGACACCCTCGCTCTGTCCTAGGAAAGCATACACAAATTTGCATAGCCCTGCCTGAAGTGAGAGAAGGTGTGACCGAAACAGTTTGGATGCCTTCCTCCACTGAAGGAGAAAACAAAACAAAAACACACCTGCTTGGATCTTAACTACCCAAATAAATGAGATTTCCAGCATTTCCCATGCATTGTGGCCTGAAGGAGGAGGGCAATTTTCCACTTTACGAACAGTCTCTTGAGACAGAGAAACAGACCACCAGGGCTGCAAGTTACTAGACAAGTATGCCTCTAACTCATAAATTGCCGGTGGCATCAAAAAGACTCCTACATAGTGGGGCAGTGAACAAAGTGGAAGACGTGAACTCCTCATTGAGGTGCAGCAGCTTGAGACCTCAGCCAGCTAAATTCAACCCTCATCCTTCAAGAGAATTTTTTAAAAAAACCCTGCAGGACTCATTTTGCCCTTCATAGTGATAACTTCAAGAACTCCTCTATGTTTCC